TTTCCAAATGAGATTAGCTAATTATATTACTATCCATAATTTGACCGTGTGATTGAGCATTAATAATTGATTATGTAATTATGTATAAAATTAAATTATGTTAGATAATAACTAACATCAATTTAAATTTAATATGTAAAATATGATTATTTGTAAGTTATATGGTTATTTCGTATAGACTATTAGTTATATATATATAATCAAATTTTTTATTAATTGTAAATATTAAAAATTTCATATGGACTATTAGTTATATATGAATATAATCGAAATTTTTATTACTTGTAAATTTTAAAAATTAACGGCATATAAAATATACATCGAAAGGCTTATTAGTTTATTCAACTACGGTAACTATCCTGAAATAATAAAAATCATAGATCTGTAAGATTGCATAATATTTCTGTTTATGACGAAAAATCATAATTTAATGCATTAGATTAGTACAAATGAAGACTTTCTATTGACTGTGTTATATGAAACCCTTCAAATATATTATTTCCTTGCAAACAAGAAAAGTGTTTACCAGCATTAACCTCCGATCACATTAATACACATCCAAATAAATTACGATATATAAATAAGGAAGGCAAAAATTTAGTTCCGCAAATTTGTCTCCATGCTTTTATTACGTTTTCATTGTTTATACTAATTGTCAAAAATGTGATTATAATCAGAAGTAGTATATATTTAACAGATGCATATCACCTTGGTAACCCGATCTCACAACAAGTTCTTTCGATAATTTTTGCTATGGGTAGTCATACTTTATTGGTAGAATTAAGTCTTCTCAAACCTTTGTTTTCAGTCCGTGTTAAGATTATATGCAAGAGGAAGACAGAAACTGGACCAATATTCAAGAAATCAGAACTGCTACTAGGAGATGAGAAGGTAAGATTTATATATTGATAAAATTTACTGTTATATTAGTAATTTTTTTTTTGTATTTACTAACGAATTTTGATTCATGTTGAATAGGGAAATACAATTATAAGAAAAAAGTATAACATTCCGTTTAGTTACATTCTTTGCCATTATTCATTAATTGTAGTTTAGCATAATGTTTTAATAGTATGTTTTGGTTAAGTGCATTCTTAACGTAGACCATGGAAGAAACATGTTATTTGGTAACATATTTTATATCATTTTTAAACCAGTTAACATATTTTACCCGATTACTACTTTAGAATGTTTATATAAATCAGTTTTTATTATTATGATATAATGTATATTTTTTTTTGTAACACATATAATGTATAATTTAGATTACACTATATCAAAATCAGTTATTTAAAACCGGTTTTTATTATATTTTCTGATCAGTTTTTATTATATTATACAATATATCAAATGAGATTATAATTTGAAATGTTTACAATGTATTTTGGAAAATATTATATTATAAAATGTGTCAAATTATATATTTTATTTCGAATATTCAGCCACCATAACCGCACACCTCTAATTGAATACTACAAACCAAAAATAAAATTTATAAATTTCTAGCATACAACAAGAATTTCTTCACATACATTTGATTTGGTACATAGTCTTCAATTAGAGACTATGATGACGAGGATGATTTGTTATATTACTATATATTTTGATAAAGTTTTATTTAAGAAGCTTTTGAATATGGCAAAACTCTTTCTTTTGTGATTGATCATCTAATTTTTGAAATATTTTGAAATAAATAACCAGTCACTTAAATTAAGGACCATGGCTTTGTATAATTTTTTCAAATTTCAAAATTGCTTCAAATAACAATATTTACATGTATTCATGAATTTTTTTTTTCAGTTTTCATAAATGATAAGAGGAAAATGATTATGGTTAACATGTATCCATGAATTTCTTAATCTGCTTGGACAGTTTCCGGTTCGATATCAATTCATAATGCATATTGATTGATTTTTTTTTAAAACATATTTATCGGGTATTATAGAGTTGTATATAAATAAATGTTGATTATGTCTAGACTCTTTTATTTTAGCAAGACCATATCACGACATTTATATTATTTGAAGATTGATTGATTTCTTAAGGTAACTAAAACCGGTCTTTATTATATTATATAAACTAGGGTTTATTATATTATATAATGTATCAAATGATATTGCAATTTGAAATCGGTGTACTATTGTGTTATTAACGAAGATAATAATTTGAAATGGACCATTATATAATTTATATATGCTTACAATGTATTTTTAGAAATATTATATTATAAAATGTATCAAATTATATTTTTTATTTGAAAATTTCGGCCACCAGGACCACACACCTAATTGAATTCTAAAAACAAAAAAAATAAAATTCATTATAGATTAATATACTAAATTATTGTTCGATCAAAGTCAAAGTTATCTCACTCCGCGCAGGGCGGGGATCAACACCTAGTATTTAATATTTGATAAGGCGCAAACCATCTAGTATTCGGTTTAAGTCGTAAACGACAAAAGGATAAGTCGCAAACCATCAAACGACAGTATCCGGTTTATCTCTTTAATAGCCAGACATTTCAATCTAGGGTTCTTCTTCCTTTCTTGAATCATGGCAGCGAGTTTGGCTCAATCCCCCTCCTTTCTGCGTCGAACTTCCGAAAACGCCTCTGGGTCGATTCTCCTGTCGGCAAGCTCCCCAAGGTTCATGCGATTTGGCTCCGGACCTCAATTTCGCCATAGAGTATGTCTCCAACATCTAACCTTTGATGCAAATCGAATTTTCTGATTTTTTTTTCCTGTCAATCCCACATGTGTTATCTGAATTCTGTGTCCCTCTGCTTTGCAGCACAGCTCTTGTCTTACCCTCTCGAGTCCGCTGCAAAGGCGAACATTGAAATCTCGGAGAAGCTTTGTGGTTAAAGCTTCTGGTGATGCGTCTGACTCAATCGCACCACTTGAGTTGAAGTCTCCGGTGGGGCAGTTTCTTTCGCAGATACTCGTGAGCCATCCTCATCTTGTGCCAGCAGCTGTTGAACAGCAGCTTGAACAACTTCAAACCGATCGAGACGCTGAAGAACAGATCAAAGATTCATCCTCTGTTCCTGGAACAGACATTGTTCTTTACAGGTTTTGTTTCTCACTTGCCCCTCCCCCCCCCCCCCCCCATCTTATTACCCTTCTGATTGTTTTTGGGTGTTTAGGAGAATAGCTGAGGTTAAGGAGAAAGAGAGAAGAAGGGCGTTGGAAGAGATTTTATATGCTTCAGTTGTTCAGAAGTTCATGGACGCTAATGTTTCACTTGTACCA